TGTTTTATACGCAAAAAACAGATTTTGATCATCTTCATGTCTCCTCCGTAACTTCTTTATTCATGAAAATATTCAAATAGAAATTTCACATTCTCATGACAGTTTTTCAAAGTGATTTCGAAAAAAATATGGAATTTATACCAACTCTTCTAGAATTTGACTTTAGTTTTTTAAATGTAGGTCATAGCTCACTATGACTTAGTTACAAATAACTTTTTTTTCTCTTACAGATGATATATCGCAGTAATAGTTTTGTGTTGATAACAACGGAGTTATCGTTATTTATACAAAAACAAAAAATTTATTTGGAAGCCGCCATCTTGAATTTATAAGTTGAGAAGAAAAATCATGATCTCCGACCTCAAAAACTACCACTTACCAATTTTGAATGGAATCGGACCAAATCTTGTCCGCCATCTTGAAGCAGCCATTTTTTTAATTTCAACAAAAATTCCATAACTCCGATTAACCTGAAATTTGGAAGGTGTTCATAATTTCGGTGACAATACATAATGGAATTTTTGTTGAAATTTAAATAAATGGCTGCTCCAAGATGGCGGACAAGATTTGGTCCGATTCCAATCAAAATTGATAAGTGGGGGTTTTTGAGGTTGGAGATCATGATTTTTTTGTTAAAATTCATAAATTCAAGATGGCGGCTTCCAAATATTTTTTTGTTTCTGTATAAACAACTCCGTTGTTATCAACACAAAACTATTACTGCGACATATCAACTGTAAGAGAAAAAAATTTATTTGTAACTAAGTCATAGTGAGCTATGACCTACATTTGAAAAACTGAAGTTGGTGCTGATATCTCAAATTCTACAGGAGTTGGTGTGAATTTCATATTTTTTTCGAAATCACTTTGAAAAACTGCCATGAGATTGTGAAATTCCTATTTGAATATTTTCATAAATAAAGAAGTTACGAAGGAGACATGAAAATGATCAAAATCTGTTTTTTGCGCATAAAACAAAAACGAATAGATTTTATCAAAATATTTTTCCACATTATAGTTGGCCTTGACAAACTCCACATTTGGTGTCATTTAACCGACCTCGTGGTGAGCATGGTAAGTGGGACACACTGTATACTGTATTTAGATTTCAATGTTATGCAATTTCATATCTAGAGGTAGTTGTATTTGAGTGAAACGCAAAAAAAGTGCTTCACTTTCAGGAATACATTTCACAGTTCAGGTTTTGCCAAAAGCTAATACACTTTTTTGCTGAAGGTGAAAAGTGAAACATAGAATTGGCGTCTTAGCCATATTTTAGTTGTGGCCCTCACGACTCTGAAATGTATTGCAGGTTATAGTAAAAAAAGGACTGCTATTGGTCCATTGGGACATGGTGGACAAACTGCGGCAATTCCTCAAAGATGCACTACAGTACTTGATTCGCAAGGCGATAAAGTTTTGTGAGCTGGAAAATGTTGAGCAGCATTTTTGGAAGATTTTGTACCACAATATCATTGAGGTGACGAGGAAGGCATTCAAAGATGACCCAGAGAATAAAGGAAAGTACAAGGTATGTATTTATACTTCTTTTAGGGCCGGTTGCATAAAAGCTCATCAATTATTTGATGTCACTTCAAATATTTGATGCGACGTTATAAACGGAATTCGATTGCATGAAAGGCCCATCATGACACTGATCTGCGGTTCAAATCGCATGTTAGTAAATGTATAAAAAGGGCATATACTAATTTAAAATTGTTATATCCTCATAGACACATTATTTCTCAATCATTAAAACTTAAACTCACAGATTCTCTTGTATTGAGTCATTTTAATTTCTGTGATATAGTGTATGGTCCGTGTCTTGATAACACGGACATAAATCGTATCGAAAGAGTACAAAAATCTTGTTTGAGATTCACTTTTGGAATCAGAAAATTTGAACCAGTAAGTTACAAATTGAGTGAAGCGAATTGGATGTCCATGATTAAGCGACGGGAATTACATTCAGCATGTTTATTTCATAAAATTATTATAAATAAATCGCCTCCATATCTATATAACAAAATTACATATAGAAGCGACGTTCACAATCTTAATCTGAGATATCGAGGTATGTTATCTCCTCCTTTTCATCGCACTGCAATATTTCGTCGATCATTCACTTACAACATTTTTCGCCTATACAATAATGTAAGTAATGATTGGAAGCGTCTGTCGTTGTCCGGTTTCAGATTCGCCTATAAGAATTTATTATTAAATTAATATTTATACATATATTTTTACAATGATTTACATGTCATGCTTGGGTTTGATGTTAACTTTTTTCAAGATATTCTGTTTCTGGGTTTTATACAATAAAAGATGCTGCTATCTCGAACCTAAACGGGGATGGCACTAGATATCAGTTACGACTGCCTGTCATCTCCCTTTTGCAGTTCGCATTTTGTTGGAAATTTTATATTTAAGTAATGTACTAAATTGGCGAACTTCGAAATAAACTTTATTATTATTATTATTATTATTATTATTATTATTATGTTCTTAATGGCATGGTTACCTAATCATCTGATTAACTTATAATAATGACTATTTATATTTAACTAAAAAATCGGTTGCACAAAGGCCAATCAACTTTAGATGTTTCATCAAATCGACTTATTCATGGCATCAACTTAATCAGTGCTCGACCACTGATTAAAGTGACAACCAGCAAATGACCTGTGAGAATTCCGCCAAATTATTTAGAATATTTCGCAGAATTTTTCTTCTTCTTAGTTCTTGTTTCATTTCAAAAAGGTAGAGTAGGTAAATGAACACAATAATGTAAGTGAATGACTATTATAGGTTTCACAGAAAATGTCTATCTCATCACTGTCTTCACTATCTGAAGAAGAACTACTGATTTCCAAGTCAAGAACCTTTCGAAATAGAAACAATCCGTTCAAAATGTATGATGACAATGATTTCAATACCCGATTCAGGTTTTCTGTAACTTCTGTCAATCTGAATGTTAATCAAGCAAATAAACCTAACCTAAAATGCGTATCAACAATGCGCGGAACGCAAGGAGCAGACAGATTTAGCGCTGTTGCCACGCCCTTCCCGTCATCAGTAAATGGAATGATCATTATAACATCAGATTGTTTATGCAACGCAAATGACATTTAACATAACATCAAAGTTATTGTGGCATCAGTTGATTGGATGATTAATTTTTCTTAATGCAACCGGCCCATAGTGTTTCATATCATTTAAATACCGATTATGCACCAGCCTAACATCTATTGAAAGTGCCATATCGACCATACCTTTTTATATTCACTAATTACACCATTGTTATTATAAAAACTTCAAATAAGAGTAATATTTTGAAAACACGTTGATGATTTCAGATCTCTCCTGTACATATTGTACATGCAAAAGTGGTTCTAAATCTGTGCCTCGGGAAACCAGTTGTGTTGTAAAAATATGAATTTTCGATTAAAGTGTCCCATATTGGGCTCTTCTTGATGCTTTGCTAAGAGAGCTATATTAACAATGCAAATTATTAGAACATATATTTTACTAGCTTCTACCCGCTGCTTCGCCAGAACTGGATCAAATGGGATAGCGAGTTGCACAGAAGTTGGTCATTAAAACAACCCTCCAACAAACTACCCCTTACAACACACCTCCAAGTATTTTTCGTCAATGTATACCTCCTATTTCGACTGATACTAATGAGAAAAGATATTCAACCAGTTTGTTATCAATAATGCAGCGAAAAATAATGAAATTGGCAAAAATTATACATTCGAATCAAATAAAAAATTCGATGTGGTTACCATTTTCTAACTGACAAGGGTACAACTTGCCAAATTTTCTTATACAAGGTGCTGTTATTGTCTAGGGTGATAATTCTTTTACCTGCAGAGTATTTATGTAAATTGGAATGTTTGTAGTGTTACAAGGGATTTGTGCTTGGTTTGTCCGAAAATTGTTTAAATGACTCACTTTACAACAACACAATAACTCATTTCATCCAGTTTTTTTATGAAAATAAATAGTGTCATTAATTATTGATAATGCCTGTTGAATATACCTTCTTTTCAGGATGTGTCACCTAACTGATTCATTAAAGATTTTCGGTTGCAGCTGTAGCGCGAAACTATCTATTTTTTTCTAATTTGGACATGTAATATGACACTTCAAAACTGACGTTCTTAAACGTCTTACTACTTTACGTAACCAGTTGCGTAAAGTAAACTGTTTCATAACTGGTGATGTAATGTTCATTGTGTCATCCAGAATCCTGGATACGAGATATCCAGTGGTATAAAGGATACTTCAAACTGACAAGCTAAATATTGTACCCTCAAAATTCATTGTAATTATCGATCTGATGAATTTGAGGACTATTTTTTTAGCCAAAATAAAAAAAAATATTGTACGTAACACGTTAGGAAACGCAATTTTGTGTAACTCTGTGATTCATCCTTACACAAAACGAAGCGTTTCCCAACTAGTTACCTACAATATTTTTTCTACATGACTTCGCCCGTCACTTTGAAGTATCTATTGCTACTTTTGTAGTTAGAGCTGTTTCTCCCTTATTATCAATATTGGTATCAGGCAGATTGGCCCAAATCGTAATATTTGGAAGTCGAAAATGTACCATACTTCTATGTACAACTCTAGAGGAACACAATTTCAGGTTGATATCTCTCCTACTTCAATATAATCCTCAATTGACCATTCGAGGACACGTAATTTTGGCACGGTTTCTTGGAGGGCGCACAAACTATCTGTAATCTAATCTTTGATGAGCATAGCCTTGCCCACATTCAGAATACAATAACATATTCAATAAACAGAATCATGAAATTCATTTGGGTTCCAACTCGGGTTCCAAGGAAAATGATCCCACTAATTCTGGTTTCATATGACAAAATACAATTTTTGCCCTCCAACGATCTGTCGAATGACGTAAATCTGGAATGATTTATTGAATCAGTTGCGTGGACCACCCTGTTAACAATCTTTCGATTTGTTTCAAGGCTTTCCTTTTGTATTTGATCGACGAGGGCACCCAGTATTTCGAGGGTTTGCTGCCTGTCCTGGAGGAGACATACAAATTCAAGTTGACCAACTTTTTGAAGGAGAACAACATGGCGTCCCACAAACAGCCAGAAATGGACGGATTGGCGGGCCTGGCGCTGGTTTCGGCCCAGAAAATCTGTTTGTTTCTGGGCGATCTGGGCAGGTACAGAGAGGAGGTGAATGAAACTTCCAACTATGGGAAGTGTAGACAGTAAGTTCGATTTTTTCAATCGTCAAAAAATTGTGCTGTCAAAGATGTAAAGAAATTCTAATGGTGTAATCATTACTTGTTGAAAGAAGTTTAGAAATCTCTCGATATCGCCTTTTTTGTAAAAATTGCGAAGCGTGGGACAGTCTCGCTGAATTTCCGAAGTTTCAAACCAAAGGACCCCGCACGAAAATATGGGAAATTGGCTCTCGGTCGGATTCGCTGGAATTTCACTATGTTGTTGCTTAGAAAAATATGTATGTGAGTTTCAAAACTTTCGTATGCTTAGTTCCTGAGATATAAGCCGACCAAGTTCGTAACAATGTCGTATCAGGGTATGGTTGACATAGAAAAAAACTGTTCTTGTAGAAATTAGACAAAGTAAGCTAGAAAATGTATTGATCGCAACTCAATGTTTTAATCACATGAATTTGAGTGAATCAGGGTGTATACGAGGCACGGTTATAACATTATTCCAAAATCAACAAGTTATATTTAGGAGAGACTTTATACTTTTAGTCTATTGTAGGCTAAAAAACTATTTTTTTCTACATTCAGCGACAGGTCTGACCACAGTAGTCCGACCACAACAAGAATAGAAGTTCTGAACGATCATCGGTACGTGCGTGGATAACAGTCACTGTTAATGCATTTTAATTTCCGTGGCTGTGCGTTGTTTCATTAGTTGTTTTTCAACTGGATCTAGAATTTAACTCCACTCTTATGAGTTACGGTATAGGACAGATACTTCACCTTCATCCATTTTCGTTTCAGTAAGTCGATAGAAAGAGATTGGAACCGAGCACTAAAGCTCGGTCTCGGTATAAACAAAAGCTATCAGAAAAATTAACATGAATGCTCACAATACTATCGATTATAATTCTGTCAGAAATCAGCGAGATCTAATTGCTTAGTTAGTATCTTAGTAACACCACGTATATTCGAAATAAATTGAATATAATTCATAACAATGATGGGAAACTCATCACCGGTCGCTGGTTTATGGGCTGGTCCCCTCTTTTGTTCAATTTGTATGTTGGGCCTAAATGGTCGACTTTAAACACCTTGCTTCCTTTTTCTACATTATAGTTGGTATTAAATTTATTTTGAATAAATTGGGGATTGAAATTATGAAAGTTACATGGAATAAGAAACTGAAAAATATACGAAAACGGTTTTCAAATTCCGTTGCTGAAATGCAATGAAATATGAAACATATTTTTATCTTACCCAAGAATTGAACGGAACAGGTAGTCAACAATTCTCTCCTTAATGAAAAGCACTGTATATACCTAACCCATCAGGCACTTACCTTGGTTGCAAAGAGCGTATACCGACGCTAAGTATTGAAGACACAAAGTTAACTATCGAAACATTTTTTATGATATACCGCCTTCCAAATAATAAATATAAAGTAGGTGAATTAGTATATGTAATCCGTTGGTCTGTATGTACATACCAATTGGCCATCGACCTTACGAGAGGTCCATCAGCTCATGTGTGTTATGTGTAGGCTTTGTTACTAACTCCATACGCCACCTTAGGAGCAGCACTGTTAATTGAAACGCAACAGCGAATCGTGCGGAATCATCTCCGGCTGAGGCTACGAAAATTAGAATTTATAAACATTTTTATAGATAATTAAGAGAACAAACTCAAAGTCTCGCTCCAAGTAAATTATAATCCCATCATATATGCTACATGGTTCGAATCCTAGGAGTCATCATCAGGCTAAAATACAACACTTATAAATTAAAGAAGTTCCATCACTATTGGAAAATGGGTGACATACCTTGCTAGGTACGAGGAGAAAAGAAACTATAAAATTGAGAACAGAAACTATTTCCTCAATAACATCATGGTAGTTGCATTCATTGTCATAATTGACGTCAAATTATTTTGACAGTATTTGATACTTTAGTAACACCATGTATGAGTTTGGTAATTATGGGAATTCATATGTATGGACTTGCAGACACTTTCAGGGTCAATAACTCTTTAACATAGTGCGATACAATTTCTTTATATGAAGTACTATCATCATTTTGGCTCACTCTAAGCCCTATTATTTACGACATGACCTTTCCAGACTCCTTGTATATATTGATTGTATTTGAAAGAATGGCCGAATGAAAATAAAATTCGACGCCTTCGAACGTTCTTTCAATTATTACTATTTTTCAACGAATTTATCCACCACTTTACGAGGGCACTCGATTCAAGGGGCGCACTGTATACAGATCCTATGTGTGAAATTTCTATGAATTCAGTTTTCCATGGAGATTTCAAAAATTGAATAATATAAATAGGATGTTTCATTTGAAAAAATTGTCGCAGTCTTCATTACTCAAGCATGTATCACCCTGTATATTAAATTTTCCTTGCCTTCGGCTTGCAGTTTTGATTAAGATGTAATTCGCGGAATTACTAGACAACAAGCTGTCACAAAAATCACCGAATATTTTCGGCTAAACCAGGGAGGCTAAACAATATCACTTGTGGTATTACATATGACTTTTATATGGAAAAATTGTTTTACATGGGGTGAGAAGAAATGCAATATACGTAAAATGAAAAAAAACGGTAAATTTTAGTATTTGGTGAATGAAACAAACTGCTCAAGTATTGAAACTTCACGATGAAAATAAAATAATACAAGTTATTTGGTAAAACCAACTGAATCGACTGTATGCGACGAAATCTAATATAATAATATGACTATGAATGGCAGGAATGGCTGGCTTGATTCATTATTCTGATACTGATTAGTTACGTCATCTTTCTAAACGATAAATTCCCAAAAGATAAAATTCCATGTATGACTAATATTTATATGGAAAAATAGTTTTACAGGGGGTAAAAATAAATCAAATATATTAACAATAAAAAAAACAGTGTCATTTTTAGTATACAGGGTGAGTCATAACTATTGGGACATAGGCTAAGGTTAGATTGTTTGGACAAAATATGGCGATAGGACCAAATATGCCTTGATAAAATATTGCTATGGAAAAAGATACTGGGCGTTAAAATTGCTTTTTTTATTTTCGTTTTTTGCTAATAATTTAACTGTATATTTATCAATTGTTATCAAAATCGGCACAGGGGCATAATTTTATACAGGGAATAATATTTTATGTATTATTCTACATTTTGTTACAGGGGGCACCACTTGAATGATTCCTGATTATAAAATCGACTGGTAACTTTTCTGACGAAACTTTTCAGTGATTTCGATCAAAAATATGCAGTCCAAAGCACACTGTTCAAAAATGAAGTAATATTTGAAATCCCATTCTGAGTCTCTGATTTGTTTAATTACGCTTTTCTCGAAAACGGATGAATATAATCATGTTCAATAATGCATAAAATAATTTCATACAGATGCCCCGGTGCCGATTTTGTTAACAATTGAAGAATATACAATGAAATTATCAGTAAAAACCGAAATAAAGATTAACTTTATCGCCCTGTATCTTTCTCCACAGCAATATTTTATCAAGGCATATCTGGTCCTATCGCCATATTTTTGTCCAAACAATCTGCCCTTAGCAATAGTTATGACTCACCCTGTATAGAGTATAATTTTTTCATCGTTATATGGGAATATACCGAAGCAAAATACTATCCACGTGATGAATACCTCCATATATTTTAAACAAAAACACTTACCATCTTGAAATAATTACACTTTCACACACTCAAAAGGAAATACAATCACCAAGCCCAATACGAATTCGATTTTCCACTCTGAAATACTTCGCTTTTTTTATTATTACTTCAATCGACCGTACTCGATGGAGTATAGAACGAGACTGCTGATTGGTTTGATTCCTCATTCAGATGACTAATTTGTTACGTCATCCTTTCAACCGATCAATTCCCGAACAAGTATGACTAATTCCGATATAGATAGAAGGTATACGGAGTGGAGTAAAAAAAAATCTAAAGGACATTTTCTTTAATTTTCTCATCAATACGAGGTGTTCTTGAAATTAGTTCAAATATTCAGCAAATCAATGAAATATATGCTAACGGATACTATGATACCAGATTTTTGCTAATTATTCTAATTAACGAGAAATTTTATCTTGGAAATGTTATAAAAATCTGCATATACAGGGTGATTCACTAAGAATAGGAAATCTCTGAACTATAGATAGTTAACACCAAAATATTGAGATTTAATCCAATATGCCTTATAGATCTATTGCAGATACAGGGTGCTCAAAGAAATATTTCATTTTTTTTTAACTTTGGTCGAACATTTATTTCAATATTCTGTTTGTTGTTGGCGTTGTTCGTGATTGTCATTATTGTTCACTGTCTGTTTTTCCACTGTCAGTCCGCTAACCTTATAATTTGAAATTATTGAAATGTTATAAGTGAAACATAAATCTCTTCAAGAGCAAATAACGCAAAAACCGTTAGAGCTAGACATTTCGAAAAAGAGTACAATTTTTATGTAAAATTGAACGAGATTTTAGATTTTTCACTTATTTTGATCATCATAGTCAATGGACAAAAAAGATATGTAATTTACCAAACTAACAGAGTGCCACTAGCGCCCTCTATGAGCAATCACAACATAATCCACAAACAGAAATATCTCGTTTCGCGGCCATGTCTGATCGTTTGAATACGCTTGTTTATTTTGGCTTTTTCATTATTTTTTTATATGGTAAATTGATGCAAAAAAAATCAAAAATTATTTCAAGGTATATATATTTTGTGATATATTTTTTTCTCGGAATGACTAGGAAGGCCCATTGCAAGAATATTTTTTCCAATTTTACAACTTTTGAAAACGGGAGCAGATTCCTTCCTGTAACTTCCAAATATAAGTCACATTTTATATTTTCTTCTTCCCCATTGACCAAACAGGATTCAATTATTGTCGATTGCATTTTCCTTTTTGGGGAAATTCATCTTATTCGTCATTACTAAAAGTATATCAAGATTTTACAT